CTCAGGGCCATGTCATCCCATGTTTCCAGACCTTGCTCAGTCAACCTTCTCACTTCTTCATGTTTATCTATATTATTATTGCTGATGTGGTCTCATGTAGCCCAGATGTACCTCACCCTCCTGATTATTATCTCACTAATTCCATCATACTGGGTTCAGTGATATGCCACCACACCCCATACATAGGATCTCATCATTATTGGATGATCCATTTCCTCAGGGACATTCTGTAGTTGTCATCTGATGGAAAACATTAAGGGTAGATGAAGACACTTTTTAAACAGCTAACAGTAATCCAAATAGAATTCAGTAAATGTCAAATGGTAGTAGAATGTGCCACAGCCCACAGGGAATGAAGGGGAAGACATTCTCTCCCCTCTACTCTTACAAGAGTGCCAATGCTCCCTCCCTATGAGTCTTTGTCCATTAGGAAAACATCAAGATGTGTGTGTGTGTGTGTGTGTGTGTGTGTGTGTGTGTGTGTGTGTTTGAGTGTGTGTGTTTTCATGCACAGACCAAGGTATCCTTATTCCATCTCTTTGCAAGAAATCTTCCAGAATACCCTTGAAGGCAAGTTTGTTACCATCCCTAGCAGTATTTTTGCTGCTTTCATCCAATCTGTGTTCTGAATCTTGAGAGAAACTCTCTTTTTCTTCATTCAATATTTGGCCATGATTGTCCATGTCACTTGAAAATAGAGAGTTGAGAGTTGTCTGGTATGGAAATTTGTGTTCAAAATTTTATTGCATTTATATATTTGTGTACATATATATGGCGTGGCCATTATTGCTATAGCATGTTATGGGATAGTGGACAACTTGCAGAAATTGGTTTTCTCATATCATATCCATCCTAGAGATTAATCTCAGGAGTGATAGTACTGTGCAGTCTTTGGCTCTTCTTGATGGGACAGAATGTTGGTCTTCTCAGAGGAATGTGGATGACAAGAGAAGTCACTGCAAGGTGACTCATCAGGCCTTCTATTCCCCATTATAGAAGACTCTAAGCTCCAATGAGGCACCATGAGCCATAGAGACTGACTTGAATATCATCACAAGGCATGGGCTCTTTGAGACAATTGGAGGTAAACTTAAAATTGGGTAGTTGGTCATACACAGAAGTCCTTTTAGAACAGTCTGGGCCTAATAATTATGTCAACACTGTTCCAAACCCCAGATGCCCATGTTCCCTTAGTATGGTTTTCAGGTGATGATATGATGTTGGCCTTCCATGTTTCCATGGATCTCACAGACAAAGTAAATAACAAAAGGCTGAACCCCCTCAAATTGAACACACAGTAAATACTTATGTGAGAGCATCTGATGGAGAAATTCAAAAATGAGTGAGAAAAGAGAAACCACATGAATTGCATCCTTAGTCCAAGACTTGGCAACCACACCCACATTCATCTCAGAGGACAATTTGTGGAAACTTTTATTCATTCCTTCAATAAGGTGGCCAACACATTAGAAAACCTCAGGTCTATATGCTTGTCTGCATTACCTCTACCTGCTTAGTCATCTTGCCATTCCATCACCACAACCTCAGAATTTACATGATAGATATATCTATTTAGGGTTTCTGTGTATATTTGTGCTTCATTTGAAATTTTCATCCCTTAAATGAATGACTGCCACAACACACTAAAGGCAAGAAATAAGGTTTAGAATTTTTAATAGCATCTATGAAAACTCCAGTTTTCTGTATGCCTCTCAGAAGGATGTAACAGGGTTAATTTTCTATCCTTTCCTCCCCTCAATACTAAAATTGAACTTTGGATATGGCACATGCTAGACAAGTTCTCTATCTCAGAATTACATTCCTACCCTGTAACTCCATTCCATTCATTTGCTACAACTACTATGTGGCAGGTGGCAATAATAGATTGAACTGTCAATTTGGACAACATAAGACTGGTCCTTGAGAACAAGTGACAGAATGCTTTCAAGACTAGGAATTTTTTATCTGAGAGAGAAGAAGGCAGCTTTGGTCCACATTGCAGACTCTGAACAATTTAGTCTGAGAAAACCTCATATTAAACATTTGTCTGCATGAATAATGCAAGCAGAAGAACTCATGATAGCTACCTATCTAGTAGAAGTTACCAAAACAGCTAGAAACTATGTTGAAGACCCACATGAAATGAAAACAAGGCTAGCACAAGGCACCTTCCAGAGAGTGGAGAGATGAACATGGAGACCCATGCCACATGCTGGTGATTGGTTGAGTAGATGAATAAAGTCTCAGCTAGTTTCCAGTGTGTCCACAGGCATGCCTCACTGTGTAAGAGTAATCTCAGAAGGAGGTGACCATTGTCAGAGACTAACTAAACGTCCCCTCATTCTCACGCTGCAGAGTTCATAAAGGACATGGTTTTACAGCACCAGACTGGGCACCCTGAGTTTTATTTCCTCCATACAACAATTCTCTGTCTCACTGTCAGTGTCAGAAGTCAGATACATCCCATGTGAGATCCACAAGAATAAAGCACACTTCTGGAAGGAAACCTTCCTCAAGACAATGTGAGATCTGCTGTGGTAAAAGAGCAGCATCCCTGCCCCTTCTAGTCATGCATAGACATGCTCTCCACAAGAGGCATGTGGATTTTCCTTCAGGCTACATTCACTGAGGCCAGTCTGAAGCTTCCTCTTAATACTCTTTAGCTGTGCATGTACTGGTATTCTTTACACCACCTCTATTTCCAAGAGGTTCTTTCAAATATGTATTTCACCTCTAGTACCTAATTTGCATTGTAATCCTAGATTAGTGTTGACAGAACTACTGCAACCCTGACAATAAGAGACATTGCATTATGATGCTGAATGCAGGACAGCCTTGCATGGATGCCTGGAAGCCTAAGACAATCTGCATGCCCACCTCATATAAATGTCCCTAAGACCTCCAGACACTTCTCTCCTTTGTTGTGGAAGATTCAGTCCAACTTATAGAGCACCCATGGCTGGAAGGACAAAAGTCAAGTTCAGGGGCTAGAGAGATTGCTTATCCATTAACAGGATTTGTTGGTCCCTAGAAGATACAGAAAGCAGATAAAGGATCCTCCTTAAAAACAGTTATGAGTAACCTATTGCTCTCTTCTGACCTCTGATGCAACTGCATGCACGAGCTCCTTAGATAAACAGCAAGGAATATTTCCATACAAAAAATAAAAATAAATGAATAACAAAAATAAAAAAATACGAGTGAAATGCATAATTGAGTTCAACAACACCTTAGAAAACCCTGTCAATTGAACTCCGTGGTTATACTAATATGAAACCACTTCTTAGTCAAAATGCTGATTTTTGAGTGAATAGTAGGAAATTGATTTTTTATTTATATAAAACACAGTCATATGGTGAATAGGGGCTTAAAGAGTACATTCAGTTCATACAACTAATAGTCTTAGAAAAATATCAAATGAAAGACAAGAGCAAAAGACAGAAGCAAAAAATACAAAATCTGAAACCAAAATGAAGAAAACCATAATCACAACTTAAACAATCCGCCCCCAAACCAAACAAACAGGTATGCTAAGAAGCATTTTATGGATACAGATTTAGTGGCACTGTCCTATGTCCTGTGCCCATCCTTGGACAGGTAGTAGGAAGGCAGCCAGGGATTGTAATACCCTTTACAAGACAAGTGTAGCCAGGCCACTTTAGTGCTGTTAGGTCACACACTTGCCAAGGTTGATCCTATGCTTTGTTGGCCACCACATGATTCTTTCAAACATGTGTCTGTGTGCCTAGTTAAGACCAAAATGGACAAGAGAAACATCTGCTATCCTAAGACGTAAGAGCTCATAGTGACATCACCTCAAAATCATTTCTCGGGACAGTTCAGTTCATTCATGGCTGTGAAACAGGAGAATCTTCAGTTGATTTCCTAATCCATAAAAGAAGTGACTATGGATACTATAGAGGGACTGTTGTCATTTTTGTAGAGCATTGACTTCAACATCACATTTGCATGACTGCTAGGAGCTTCAGCACTGCAGTGGAGGGTGAATATGATGCTTTTTGGTGTGGTCTGTCTGGATAGCAAAGTGATGTCAACAGAGTCTCTGCTGATGTATCTTACTTTACATATGAAGGGCTTAGGACTCGGTCAGCTTACAAAAGTTCACTGCAATAAATTTTCAGAGTAACTTTGAGCAGAAATATGTTGTTATGCCCCTCACCAGGACCACTTTTTGGTGGATGTCAGAGATCTGCATAACTCTTAGTGGGTTTTTTGAAACTCAAGATTCTTCCTCACGGTTAATTTACTCCAGAAATAATGAGCCAACAGATACATGGATGTCATTAGGGATGGACCACCTAAATGGTATTGATATTTGCCTCACTGATGAGATTATAGCTAGAAGTACATGTCTTGTTCTGAGAAGTCCTTGATTCTATAGTGGAGAATGTCATGGCTTCCACTTGTCTGTGGATCCTTGTGGCCTCCACAGTTCCCTGAAAGGGTGCTGTGACAGAAGGAATGGCAATCTGATCCAAAAGCAGCCTTGTTGAGTCAGTGGATAGACAAAATCATGCCCCATTCACACATAGGAAACAAGAGTCAATGAAGAGCATGCACCCCCAAAAGTCATGTTGCTGGAGATGGGATGCCATGGTAGCTCACATGCTTGTGATACTTAGTTTTCCTGCTGCATCAGCTCTTTTGGCAAGAGGGTCTGATCCTGAGCTGTGGACTGTTCCAGGTCATGTTGTAGTTTTTCAGACTTGGAGGAGGAAGGCAGTGAAGGCACAGTCCTGCTAGGGATCTGCCATGTCAGTTGTCAAGCTGCGATCACACAAACACTCATTTGTGCTGGACACTCAACATTGATCTTTTGAGGCGGC